AGTTTGTAGCCTATCTCACACAGTAGTTGAGACAAGTACACGAAAGCAACTCCAAAGCATTCAGAAGAAGCTGAAAAGTCGTGCAGGATGCTTCTTCCTTGCGGTTTGTTTGACATCCTTGCGGACTCTGACTTTTCCATTGCTGACCAAAGAAGATTTTTTGACACCACCTACCTCGAACCTAATACGTTGGATTAGCCTTCCAAGTCAGTAGATTTGGAAAAGTTAGTCTCATCTTGTGATCCATCACAAATTGTTTTTTTTTTTATGCCATTCTAATGTGTGTTCAACTGTCTATCACCTCCACCTCTGACATGTGGATTCTGCATCAGGTTCGAATAAAATGACACATTATTACCATCATCCCAATTATTATATTACTTTCAAATAAAAATGATATAGTTTCAACACTATAAAAAAATTTCTCGTTTAGATAGCTATTTAAAAGTGTGGTTCCAGTTGAGTGTCAAAAGAGGATCCCATTAAATTTATCTTTGATACCCTCTCTTATGATCTTGACAAATTCATCTTGATAAACTATAGCCCAAGTCATTTTCATAATGAAGATTAAAATTATTGAATTAGGAAGTTCGACTACATATTTGATAGTTACATAAATCAAAATAACACGAAAGAAAGACGAGTAGGGAATCCAGAAACACAAAATAAGAAAAATAAAACCCCATAAATTTCTCAAGTGAGAAATAAAAAAAAAGATACCATCTATTCAACAAATTCTATGAGTATTGGGAGCAGTAGCAGGGAATGGTCCCTGACATCGATACGTGTATATATAGTCTGATACACAATCTCATTTGCAAAGGCTATTTTCATTTTTTTAATCATGCACAACATTATAAAATATGACATGTGATGAAGCACACATTTATGCATGCACAAAAAAATATGCTTTATGGATCACAACACCCCCCATATCTGGACCGTCATCTGCCGATGGCACAACCGGTGGTTGATACATACTATTCCATGACGAGGCTGGTGGAACATCATATAGATTTGGCTTTCCAAATCTTTTTATTGCACAATATGATCCATTAGGCTTCTCATAAGACATTATCAAGAACGAATCTTGGTATGACATACCAGCAAGATTGAGATCATGATACGATATTTGAGTCTTAAGAACAAATACAAATTGATCTCGTATCGACGAGAGCCTCATTTACTAAGAGTCATCAAAGATATGACACTACTTGATACATTATAAGCAACTTTGTTTTCTTTAATGTCTTTTATGTTCTTCAGGATGAAGATGATAAATATGCTGACATTGTTATTGGCACAATGCTACCAGCAACCAAAACTTACACTCTCACCTCTCATCACCCAAAAATATTATTGCACAACATCATTTCAAGACAAACACAAACAATATTACACCATTCTGATGTCAACTCTGCGACTGAAATATAGATTATAATTTGGCTGGGCTTATTTGCTTAAACACAGACAAAAATAGGGTTGCAATCACTTGTAATCAAATCAAAAGATATGATTTAGCTAGACTATTTTAGCTTCAATTAGGCTTCAATAACTTGACATCTAATGAAAAGAATAGAAGATAAAGAATAATAACTGAAGAAACTTTATTGAAGAAATAAAAAATACTTCAATACATTAACATGTTGCAAGATGATGCTCCTGTTAAGGATACCAATCTTGGATCGATACAAAGAATGGTTTACAAGCGAGAGACTTCGTGAATAGGGTAAAAGAAGATCACTGTTATTATTGCGATTGCTGTTGCTGTGAGGGCACAAGCATTCCCTTCGTTCTCCTTAAGTCCGTCCTTCGTTCTCCTTAAGTCCACCAACTATTGGCAGATCAACGAAAGCAGCAAAGGCTACCGCGGTGAGAAAGATGATGATTGACCGTGGAGCCTCTTAGGAATGTGACTGCAGTGGCATTGGTCGCTGGCCGAAGACAAGGGAGAAGCTTCACTTTTCTCAACAACGTTAGTCGTTGGCTAAAGACAAGAGTGAAACTTGTTTTATTAAAGAAATAAAAAATACTTCAATACATTAACATGTTCCCTCTCCTATTTATACAGATTAGGAGAAATAATTTCCAATAGAATAGAAGATTTTCTTCAACATAATAGAAAGATTTCCTCAAGAAAATTATCTTCTATCAAATCAATCATATTTATTTAGGCTTCAATTATATTGTTATACATGTTCAACAGTAACAAGTAGATCACCTGATTTGTTTCTCTATGAAGAAGTAGACACACATCAAGTTATTGCTCGAGGATGGGCAATCTCCAAGAACAGATTGGAGATGCCAAAACCAATCACTTCTCCCATCATTCAAAATAATTGAAGTTGGAGGATCAGTTTCACAAGTAACTGACTGATCTCATGATGTGCAGCACACAGAAATTCATTACAAATGGCAGAAACGTCAGCTGTCAATATAGAATCATACACCCTTGAAGTATCATGTTTGCCAATACAAAATCCATCAAAATCGAGTTTCTACAGAAAAGGAGGTAATTCATTCTGTAGCTGAGAGGGAAGCAAATGCTCATTTGATGCACTGTTATCTTCAGGAGCAATATCGTACATGAAGTAATATTGAGCTCCACAGTTTTCATTTCCATTAGAGTACATGAAGTTACACTAACAAGATTCATGATTAATAAATACCAACCAAAAAATCGAGCTGATGTGAACATTGTGGAAAATCCTTATCGAGGCATCTCTCTTATTGAGGATACATTGGCCAGGTCAGAGAAATAAAAAAAAAGGAATCTTTCCAGTCTTTTCAACAACCATTCATGATAACATAAATTTTCTCTAATGAACATATAACTTCCAACATATCTAGTGCACAATTTCAGGAGCATCTTGCATCCCCAGTCCTTCGTTCTGTGCCTTGAGCAAGTCCAGTTTCTTATAGCATTTGGCAGCATCCAAGAGTATGGTCAGCTCATTGAAAAATGCTTGGCTTAGACAAATCGGAATCGAGTTTCATGCTGCCCCACTCTCCATCACAACATGCAAAGCACTACTTAATCTTTGATAGACAATGCTAATGATACTATCAGGAGTAACTGAGAACACTGAACACTGAGACTGAAGAAACAATGACTGTAGAATTTTGTTGCAATTAACATCATAAATTCTTACACTTACGATACAAATTTGAAGTGACCAAACAATCTCTTACAGTGTTGATCCCTGTCTAAGAACTCCATAAGATAAAGATAAACTTAAAAGGAAATCTGAAAACAAAAAGCCTAACTAGTAATGAGTTTATATTACTGAATATCTTACTGAATGAACCATGATTAACTAAAAATGAGTTTATATTATTCATTGATGAAATTCACATTTAGCAATGTTTTCTTATTGAGATGGGGGAGAAAGGGAGGGATAGAGAGAGAGAGAGAGAGAGAGAGAGAGAGAGAGAGAGAGAGTAGTA